AAGGAGATTAGAATTCTTTTATTTTTGGAGATCAATATTTTTATTCATGAATTTTATATAAGAAAAATGTTTCACAGAGTTATCACAACTATACATAGCACCATTAACTGTGTGTCAATAAGAGGAAAATTAACCCTAGCAAAATGTATTACATCCTCTTGTGGCATCCTGAGCACACTGGCTAAAAGCAACAGGAAAATTAAGAGTGTGTTTAAAAGAGCTAGGAAGTCAGTGCTTAAGAACACTTGCTGCTTATTTATTTTTGTGGTAGTAGGAGTTAACCCTCAGGTCTTATACCTGATAGGCAAGCATCCTGTTACTAAACAGCATATCCAGACCTTTTATCTCAACATACTTAAAGGTAGAAATACACTCAGGTAGAAGACAATGTGATGCAGGAAAGAAGTCAGACTTCAAGAGTAAAGGTAAGTTTTGTTTTCAACTCTGCTGTTCACCTCTAAGTCATCAGTAGACTAGAGGAAGGCTCTTCATCTGTGAAATGGTGGCATTAACTCAAATGGATAAGTTTTATAAACAAGCACCAAGAAAACATGGTACTTAATTCATTTAGTTTCTAGAATATATCAATGAAGGATAATAACAAGAGAAAAACAAGTCTTATCAGGCATCTTCATAATATTGACATGGTTATCAAGAGCTTCTTCACTGCTCACACAAAATAAAGAAATCTAAACTACAGCCAATGATGTAAAGATACAAATATTCATATTCATTAGACAATTTTTATGACTTATTTATATATTTTAAACAGTGGGAGAATACTTTAACAATGTATGAAGTAAGCCTAACTTTAAACTGAAGTTAGACCTGACAACTGACAAGTCAAAAGCAAAGGTCTTAGTACATGAAGTGCAAGCAAAAATCTAAAATTAATATTTGCCTGATGGAGGAAGTCCTGTGTATGTGCTTATCTTATTGGTTGTTGAATAAAGCACTGTTAGCCAATAGGGAAGCAAGATAGGTGGGACTAGGAGTTGAGAAGGAAAGATAGGCACAGGCAGACAATGTAGGGCGCCAGAGAAGTAAGAGGTCTGGAACCTTTCTCTGGTAAGAGACATGGAAATACTCAGATTAGCAATTATGGGTCAAATATTAAGTCAGAGCTGGCCAAGAAGAAATCATAGCAAACAGCCAGCAGCTTATAATTGATATAGTGTCCTACGTGTTATTTGGGGGTTCAAACAGCTCAGCAGGGCCCAGGCAGCTGGCAGGAAGACTACACATTACATTTGTCCACTGCCAAAATCAACAGCACTCAACAAGTCTGAGAACAATTTGTCAGACGTGTGAGAACTGTTTGAAAATTCTGTCTCCTCCTGTGTTATAAAAGGGCTGTGATCCTGATGTAACTGCAGACATTCCTTAGCAGGAAACAGAAGGCAGAAGTGAAGCAATGAATTAAAAACAAACAGGACAGAGGATCACATTAACATGACACCAACTGTTAATCCCACACTGCTTAAAGACTTACTAATGAGAGCCTATACTAATGTGACCATTAGGAGGAGCCTTTTCCTTATAAAAGGCACCAGTTTCAACCAAATGTGGTGGGACAGTAATGGGTCACAGGCAGGCACACCTCTGATTTGGAGGTCGGACTCATCTACATATGAGTTCCAGTACAGTCAGGACTATACAGTGAGTCACTGTCTCCACTCACGCACATACGCGCCTGTTTCAAACAAGAACAAAAGCAAAATGAAAACAGGAAGCCATGTCAGGCAGCCCTGTTTTTATAGATTGAAATACCAAAGGACAGTGAGCTTAGGTATCATTTTAATACACAGTAAGAACTCTCAAAAGCCCATTTTCCTTTGACTTTGAAATAAATTTGCTTACAGAAGTATAAATTTGTGAGAAAAATAGTAGACTTTCTTAAACTAAGCCCAAGAGAAAGAATATATGAAATCAGTTCACACACAATCCTAGTTTGTTTGTTTCAATTTCCATAAAAATAGAAATGGATAAGAATCTCTATATCTGGGTAATTCTTTGGAACACAATTTATGTAGAACTGCTATTTATGTAGAAAACATCATGAGGGAAGCTAATGTCATATAATCTGCTTTTTGTTAACAAGAATTAAAACTATAACATCTACATACAATTAATATTTCTGTTTTGTTAACTATCTCTTTTGTTCTGGCACATAACACATTAGCTACTAATATCATTACTAACCCAAATGATTATGTTAAAAGTTACAATTTATAGAAGTTGTAAAACTACTATTAAATGATCCACTGCCTCACTTCCCTTGACACACCAGAAGAAAAACATACATATATACGAGATGGCTGACTGGAAAAGGAGAGCAGCTCTAACAAAAACCAACCTAGGGTATCCTATAAGTTGATAATGGTTAGCACTAAAAACTAGCCCTACTTCAACCTAACTATATTTAAAGACAGGGCCTTTGAGGTAGTAATTAAGGGTAAAAGACTGAAATCTTTGGGAAAAGAGGAAGAGACAACACAGGCAGGCTGAATAACAAAGGCTGTATGAGACACAGCTTAAAGGGAGACACCAAAACCCCAGGAGGGCAGTCAGTCTCACCTTCTAGAAACCAACCTTTACACTTTCCAGTTCCACAAATGTGAGAAATTCCTGTAATTTAAAATACTCCTATTTGCTTATAAACACTAATTAATATAGTGATTTACCAGCCTTTTTGGAATGAAACCTATAGAGACCCAGTTCTGTCTTGCACCAAGTAAACCAAGAACTTAGTGTTTTACAAAGCAAACTGAATCCAGGAACACATGTGTGTGTGGTGTGTAGATATATATATTTCACATTTATTTACTTATTTCATTTGGAAGTGGGTGCATGCATCACAAACCAGAGGAAATCTTATGAAAGTTGGTTCTCTCCTTCCATATGGGTTCTAGAAATCCAACTCAGGTCAATTAGACTGGGCAGTGCCCTAGTGCCCTTACTCACTGAGCTAGCTTGTAAGCTCTCAAATCTTTCTTAGCAGCAGACTCTATCTTGTCTTCTAAAGCATGTGTGTTATTCGTTACAGAAATATTAACTCTATTCTTACACTCACATTTCACTTATCTAACAAGTATTTAGTAGACTACATAATCACCATAAGATCATAAGATTTCTACCTGGAATAAACAACCCTAAGAACAGTACAAGTAACTCTAGGTTAACAGAAAGTTTAGCTGGTACACGGGGGCAAGTCTACAACTGAAAGAATTCAACACGTTACCATCATCAGACAGTGGGTTTGGAGTCAGAGTGGACAGCACTGATTAATCAACTCCAATGGACAATAACATAATAGGACTTCTATCGAATTCGAAATTGACATTTTTAAAGATTGTCACTTTGCCAATAAGTATGGAAGCTACTCTCATAAATTTCTGAATCTGCAAGGTTCTAAACAACTAGTGGTAAATCATTATATTTGGAACAGGATTTGATTTCCACAAAGAATTCTAATTAGGCAAATTATCTAATATAAAATGTGTAGTAGCATTTGAAGAAAGACAAGCTGTTACTATAAAAAATGGTTTAGTATTGATAACCCTTTTTTAAATATAAGTAAAGGATAAACTTCAGGAGCACACTGGAAAACTGTGTCCATCCCATAGATATCTATTGTCTGAATATGAACTGTGGAGATGAGACAGGAATATGAACAGGTGATTGTTGGTTTTTTAACTACTACCATGCATCCTCATCACACCAATATAATCTATACACACAAGCATAGAAATACCCACACTTCTAGTAGATAACCATCAACTACTTATCTAGATGAATAGTTTTGGTTCCTGAAAAGTCTTGATGTTGGAGTCTAATTATTAAGGATAATATACATCATGCTGAAAACTTTATAAACATTATCTAGTAACAAAAATAATTAGCTAAAACATTTTGCATAAAGTAACATAAATATAACATTTTAGGAAAATCTATTTAATATATATGAACAACATAGGAGAAAGATTTGGATATGTCAGCGTAAACCAATTATGTGGTACTAAGGATCTGAATTAAAGATAGGTAACGAATGGGAAAGGGATGAAAGATACAAAAGGCAGTGTACAAGTTACTACTGTGAAGACCTATAAGGTATAACTTAGATGAAAAGCAATCAAATGGAGAGTAGAAATCGGCATTGGAAAACATTCAGCTACACCTACCCTGTTCTGCTTGCCCTATCAAACCATGGCTTGTCCAAACAGTCAGTGCATTTTGGAGAGCCTGTCAGTCCAGAGAAGGACAGCACAAAGGGCATTCTGTTACGGTACTAAAATTTCATTCAATAAGGTATTATTTAAATTACTTCTAATCTAGATAGAAAACTAACAAATGTTATTAACACTTTTTTCTCAAACTTTAAATACAGTGTGTGTGTGTGTGTGTGTGTGTGTGTGTTTTCACACACATGCATGAGAATGAGAGAATATAAGAATGAATGAGGATGATTGCTGACACTGTCCTCTAACAAAAGAGGAAATTGTACTTGCTTCCTTACATAAAGAATCATTGTCTCAATTAAAATTTGCAGTTTGTTTAGTGAGGTGGTTCATCTAGTAAAGGTGCTTGCGACCACACCTGATGACCTGAGTTCAATCCCTAGACCTGGCAGAAGGAGAGAATCAACTCCCTTAGGTGTCCTGTGACTTCTACACACATGCCATGGCACATGTGTGCATGCACACACATGCTTAATAGATAAATACAAACATTCAAGTGTGCAGTCATGAAGTCTTGCTTTTGCAACAGGACACCTAATAAAAGCCACAGCCTCAGTGAGTCTCTTTCACTCTTCTAGTGAAGCCTTCTACCCCATCACAACCAAATACTACAAATATCTCTGACTTCTAATTCTTCCCAAACTCATCTATACTATGAAAATCAAGACTAACATTCCTAAATCCTACTCCAGGAAAGCTATCTAGAAAGATCAAGTTTTGATTCTTCCAGAATTTACACCAAAAAAAAATGTAGGAACATACCTCAAATTCTTTCACCTTTTCCATGGTGATCAGGCGCCTTGCTGTGTGACTGGAAAGCTTCTGCTCACAATTGCTAATAAGCTTCAGGCAAGGGTGCCAGGGCACCATCTCCTCAGTGTACCTGAAGACAGAAAGCTGACTTTAGGAACAGTCTCACAGGCACCGTAGAAGTCAAGTGTGGTGCCCAAACAATCCAAAAATAATCTACTTGTACTTTACAAATGTTTTATAAGTGCCAGTACCAAAAAAAAAAAAAAAACAGTTCAAACTTTAACCCCTTGCAGAGAAGGACAGAAGGAGAGACAGAGGAAGGGAAACAGATGGAGGGAGAAGAATACCAAACAAACCAAAGAACTCCAAGATGATATTTACACCCTAAACGGTCCACAAAAGCATATTGGACAGATGTATACTCCACAACAACCTCTTGACAGTCACCTAAAGATTTTTATCAAGTTTACAATAGCATGCATATACTTTACATTGCAAATGAAGCATCCCTAATGAATGTGAATGACATCTTGAGACCTCTGTTAAATATGAAGTCTGAAGTTACTTATAAAGTAATTCAAACTAACTAATGACTGTGTTAGCACCCGACCCAGGTCACACTCATTAGGAAGTAACACTGAGGCCATGACACCACGTAGTGCAGAGGGTTACAGTGGAGCAATGTGCTACATGAACAGAGATGACCGACACCTAGAAAGCAGGCCAGTGAACACACTGGTCAAGAGTCTGGCAGAAGAAACTAGTGATGGAGGGAACATTGCTGGACAGAGTGAGGAAGAGTAGCAGGAAGGGGCCCTCCCCCCGCTATGTGTGGGTACCTGCAGAACACTGGCTGTAGGCTTTATTTCTCCTTTGAAACCTTGATGTTTTCTGTAGTCTCTGCACACATTTGTTACATGGATAACCTTAAACCTCCAATGCAAAATGGGAGAAGTACTAAGAACCTTGAGCTCGGCTAGCTGTCCTCATGTGTCAACATCACCCTGACCACAGACAGCTCTCGGGAACTCTTCTGTGTCTCTGACCTTCAACTATCTCCCACTCACTGCCTCAATCACATACTCAAACCCTTCACCACTCATGCACCAAGCAACATTCACGCTGCACTTGAGACTGAATTTTAAAAAGGAAACAGAAATATAACTTTGAAATTAAGCTTATATACTGCAAAATCCATGCATGTCTAAAATGGTGTCTGTCATATTTGAGAACGTACACTTTCTGTTTAGTAAGGGAGGATCCTACTTCTCACTATGTAGCTCAAGTTGGTCTCACATTCCAGCCCTTCTGTGTAAGAATGTTAATTTTTAAAAGAAATTTAAAAAACTTCTATTGATAGTGATTCATGTTTTTAAAATGTCAATTAGATACACATAGATACATATTCCTTATACCTATGCCCCTTATGTAATTATAAAACCAAAAAAATTGTAAATCAAATCCAAATATAAAAAGTCATTTTAAGTAACATTTATGACATGAATAATGCTAATATTGATCAAATAAAGTTGCCAGTAGCTAGCTTTCTTTTTTGAGTGGGACCTGGCAGGCACAAAGCACAGTATTTGTTTTAAAGCATATAAACATATAGTTTCTTTTTAACCATAAAGAAACATTCGTTGGACTACCAACATTACTGATCACTAGCCTCTTACAGGCTCCCTCATTACCTTAGACTGGTAGTAGAACACCTCCTCCTCATACTATAATTCAAGGGTTCATTCAAACTAGGAGATATATGTAGTAACTATAATAATCTCCTATATTCTTTAAATCATTTCTAGGTTACTCAGAATACCCAATACAATAGAAATGCAACTTGCTATACTGCACTGCTTTGGGAATGGCAAGAATAAAGTCTATTTAGTACATGTAAAACTATTATAACCCAAACTCCATTTTGCATCTAAGATTGGCTGAATCCAGATGTAGAAACCACAGATATGGAAAACCAAATGTATATTAATGACCAAATTAATGGAACAACATACTTTCAAACTAACATATTGAAAAAAGTTAAAATAGCAGCTTAAAAACATCTTTGGTGCATATAGTGTATTTCATATCAATAGACTGTTTGAAAACTGTTAAATCTGTATTCTGCCTACACAACTATAACAATACCTGATTCTGTTTTTATTACAGTTATCCTATAATTTATTATCTATTTAAAAGTGAAAACAGCCCAAATAGGCAAACCCACACAGAGTTAGATCAGTGGTTGCCAAAGGCAGGAGGGTTGGTTCCTTCCACAATGGGTTTCTTCAGGAACAATGAGAACGCTTACAGTGGGGGCAGTTGTTATAGTGGAAACGGTTGCACAACTTTGTGGAAATACTATAAACCACAGGAGAGAAAAGTTTAGAGTGGGAACTGCATGCATACAAATGACATTCCAATTTTTAAAAGCAAAAATAGCTATATGCATAAGCCCCTAGCTTATTCATGAGTCAATTTTCGTAGACACTCATTTCCTTGTAAAATTTCATGTTTTAATTTCTTTCTAAATGCTATCAATCTCACCTGCCACTTGAAAAACAAACTGAATTTACTGAATATTCTGAACTGTTTAAGGAATCATTCTTTCCTGTTTCCTAGATAAAAAGATGAAAAATATGTTCTGTTCATTGATATCAAGAGAATTACAGACCACCATAAACTTCCTGATATTAGTTTTATTGGCCATCATTCATTTCTTATGTGTCTGCGAGAGTACACATATGTGTCTGTGCGTGTGTGTAAGCCACCTACATGTGGCTTTCCTAAGATGCCGCAAAGCCCAGAGCTGGAGTTACAAGCCAGTAATGAGCACAGCCCAATGAGGCTGTGGGAACTGACCTTGGATCCTCTGGAAGAACAGCAAGCACTTTTAACTGCTAAGCCCATGTCCCCAGCTCCCATACTTTATTTTAATTGACAATTATGACACATAGCTATGGACATAATATAAGGTTTTGATATATGTATGTCATATTACTTTATTTATTTAGTGAGTGTGTGCATGCAAGTACCACAACAAAGCTGTGGAGCAGAGAGAACTTCCAGGAGTTTTCTCCTACCTCATGGGTTTGAGGCATCAAACTTCGAGTCACCGGGACTGTACAATGAGCACCCTAATCCACCGAATCATCATCTTGCTGGCCCTGCCATCACTCTCATCACTAACAGTAGCAGACAGATTTTTGTCCTTCACAATGGAAGTGTCTAGCCAGCTTAAGAGTTAGCTGTCAAAATGAAAGTAGCTAGCAAGGCTCTATGATGTGTTGAACCTGAGCAAACAAACACACTCTCTCAGGAGCTGTGCAGCTCTGAGGACACCAAACACACGTGAGCCACATCTGTGCTCCACTGCGGATGACAGAGCGAACATGTTCGGCGTCACTGCAGGCAGTGGAAGGGATAAGTACATATCTGAATGTAGTGAAGAGACAACAGAGATTGAATAGCGAGCGTCAGAGGCTCTGAGGATAACTCAGGTACAAATCAATAGGGAGAGTAAAGGCAAGAGTACTCTTCCCACTTGTGCTAGCCACACGGCTGGAAGACATCCACCCCTCAGTGAAATGTCTAAAAGCAAACAACTAGATGGATCCCAGTCCTGCCACATGAGGTTTCACTTGGTGACAAAAGGCATCTAGTTGGGATATAGTCTCCCTGTTATTTGGTGACTCTATTTAGATTTCTTTTATGTATGTAAACAATGAGCTACTTCAGTAGCAGTTTTCCATATGTCCCCTCAGATGGCCCTCAGTGTTAGCTATCCCCCCACACCCCCTCCCTTACCTCCTTTCTTCTGTACCCCTCCCCTTTACTCCGCCTGCTCCAATCCCAGCCCCTGTCTCTCTATAACTGTATATTCTATTTCCCCCTCCTTAAGAGATACCCTGCAACACATGCCTCCCTCTAGTTCAACGGTTCTCAACCTTCTAGTGCTGCAAACCTTTAATACAGTTCTTCATGTTGTGGTGACCCTAACCATAAACTCATTTTCAATGCTATTTCATAACTATAATTTTGTTATTGTTATGAATAATTAAATATTTGTATTTTCCAATGTTCTAAGGTGAACCCTGTGAAAGCATCATTTGATTCCCCTAGGGTCATGACCCATAGGTTGAGAACCACTGTCCTGGTCTCCTACTCTATACTTAATTTCTGTGGTTATACAGTTTGTAGCGTTCCTATTGAATACTTAAAAGCTAACATAGACATGTAAGAGAAAGCATACATTATGTTTGTCTTTTGGGGTCTGGGTCACGTTTTCTAGCTCCATCAATTTACTTTCAAGTTTCATAATTTTGCTTAACAACGGAATAATATTCTATTGTATAAATATACCACTTTTTCAGCTTTGTTTGGTCACTTTTTTCTTACTGGCCTTTTATATATATACTATGGTTTCTAATTTTGTGTTTTATGGATTTTGCATTTACGGTCGTCCTTCCTTCCTTCTTTCTCTGAAAGGAGTTGGGAAAGGGAAAACAGTAATCAGAATATACTGATTTTTTTTTCAATTAAAAAACCAGAATGAAAGAAAAGAGAAGAAATTGATACAGTTTTGACCCAGGTAGCCCAGACTGACCTTGACCTTGAGATCCTCCTGTACTGAGACCACAACCATGGGTCTTCATACCCAGCTCTTTGCCTACATCCTGCAGTTGTAAGGATTTGGACATTTTTCCTTGGATAAACTATTAGAATAGAAAAGTCACTGAAGAAATATGCAGTGGCTGCTACCTTTTAAGGTCTTCAGAAATAGTGTTTGCTTAAATCCTCCAATTTCACTTTAGGTGAGGTGCTGTAAAAGCTGTCCTAGGCATGAAACATGTTTATTGTCCTATAGAAATCACAGAAGCTGTGACTCTCATGTATCAAAACAGTGTCCTGTGGGCACAATGTGCCAATGCCTCTTCAACTGTCAGCAGCTGTGCACAAGACTGGGCCAATTAACCTCACAGGCAATGGTTACTAGAGGAGAGGGCTCAGGAGGTCCCACCCCCAAAGATAGACACACAATTAACAGCTGCTGTGAGGGACTTCTTACTTCAGTGGTGTAGCGGTACGTAAGTTGCCTAAGTCTCTGTGAATAAGCCTAATCAAAATCATTGTTTTTAACCAAGCTACACTGTGATGGAACATTTCTATGCTCTGTTGTTGGGACCATATTTAGGACATTTGCTCATGTCCTCAGGAAGAAAAGCTCACACAACAATCCGCCAGAGACCCCAGATCAGGTCTGTTAACACTCCGTCACAAAGATCACTTCTCTGTCCTGAGGGTGTCATATCACGACTTTAGGAAAGGAAACGTAATACTTGGCACCTAAGAGGAGCATAAAAGACCCAAGGCTCGGTATGGGAGAAGTGGCCTTGTCCCTGCTGCAGCTATAAGATATCTAACCACGGCTCGGCTGTCTTCCAGGAAAGGGGGAATTACAAAGAGAAATGGGCAGGTGGCTGGCATCTTTCATGTTTGCCCCCCATTTAGTTGGTAAACTGAATAAAGAAGATGAAATGGAGGTAGGCACTGCTTCACTATTTCTTACCGCCGAGTGGGAAGGGTCAGACTGTAAGGAGTACATGTCATACAAATACTAAAAACTGTCCCCTGGTGTGCAAACACTTGGAACCTGTGGGAAGAATCAGACAGTGACAGAGGTAAGAGAGTGAGAGTAGGAAAAGTACTGCAGGCTCAGGTCACCAAACAAGACAGGACTGTATGCTGGAAATTAAGAAGTTGGTGAACCCAGCACAGAGAGTGAGACTTTGTTTAGCTTTGCTCAGAGCCACAGTGTATCTGATCTCGATGATGAAGGGGACTCTGAGGGGCCTAGTGACTTAGGCTGTCACAAGTGCTCGATCAAGACAGATTAGGAAAAACAGAGCAAATGATGGGTTCTGTCCAGGTCTCAAAAGCAAATGCGGTAGTATTTGTGTCAAGCTGGAGTTCCCAGGGGAAAAACTAACAGAAAGCCAAAGAATCCCAGGACCAGCAATAGGAAGCTTCCCTGTGACTGTTGGCCCTAAGACCCCCACACGACAGGCTTTTGCCACTGATGCTGATTGCATACGAGAAATGGATTGTAAGAGTCTAGTATGATGCCTAGATGTAAGAGTATGTAAGAGTAAAGATATAAGGATGTAAGAGTGTAGTAAGATGAACATACTAATCCATGTTTCCATACCACTAAATATAAGTGAGTGAATGAAGGGAAGACTCTTGTAGAATGCAAACCTGCAAATGCATAAAGACTTTTTTTCACCACAACAGTACAGTAGTGGTATTGGTGTTGTGGTTTGAAAAAATAATGACTCAGAGCAGAGATACTTGACAAAATGAAATGGCCAGATGATCAAAATTAAGATGACTTGTAAAGGTTAAAGATACTAAGATCAGTTTTATGATGCTCCCACAAAGAAAACATTTTTGCCTCAGAGGAAACGTCACATGAGCCCTGGTGAGGGCTGGGATGGTCTGAATGAGAATGGCCCCATAGGTTCATACATTGGAATGCTTGGTTCACAGTTGATAGAACTATTGGGAAAGGGTTTATAGTGTGGCCTGGATCTCTCCGCAGACGTTAAGCTCTCAGCTACTGCTCTAACACCATGCTGGCCTGCTTTTTGCCTTGCTCCCCACCTTAATAACCATGGACTCTAACCCTCAGCAACTGTGAGCCCCCAAATCAAACGCTTTCTTTTATAAATTGCTTTGGTCATAGTGTTTCTTCACAGCAATAGAAAAACAACAAAAGCAAGGGTCTAAACCTAGAAAATCTGAAAGGCTCCCATGAACAGATAGCACTGCCATTACCAATGTTGACTTCCAGTTACTGCAGAGCTGGTGGCAGACAGGAAGGCAAAATGGTACCTACAGGAAGAGAGCATTTGCTCGTAACTTTTCACATGGGTTCAGAAGAGATTAATGTAGCCATATGCAGGGGTGCACACCTATAATCCCAGCACTCAGGTGGCAGAGATAAGCGGCTAGGAGTTCAAGGCCATTCTGGGCTACAGGAGACCCCATCTCAACAACAGAGCAAAACAAACACACAAAGAGAAGTTAATAATAATGTTGTGTATACAGAACAGAGGAAAGACCACCTATGTTAATATCTGGCGCATGTACATAGAGCAGAGATCAGTACATTCTGTACTATATTGCAACCTTTTCTATAAGTTTGAAATGTTCTTCAGATTTTTTAAAATTATAGGTTGACAACTTGAATTAAAGTGAAAAGTAGTTCCTTTCTGTCACAGGTAGACAATAAAGAGTTAAGAGACAGCAAGTCAATACAAGATTTTTCAGGTAGCATTTAGCAAGAGAAAGGAAAAGGAAAAGGTGGCTGGAAGGCCCCAACAGACTGCTATGAAAGACCTTGCTTTCAAAAAGGAGAAAGGTAAGATTTTTCTGGGTACATGTATTTCTTTCAACAATTTTTTTTAAAACATTGTATAGCCCAGATTAACTTCAAACTCAGGATGTAACTGAGGTTAACCCTGAATGCCCAGATTTTCTGTTACATAGTCTTTTGTGAGTTTTCTAACAATTATTTTTAAAAAATACAAGAGATTGCTTAGCTCAACCCCCTTATAAAAGCATATGAAAGGCAGACCTGGTCCAAAGGCTGTGGTTTGCCAATATATTATTTTAAAAGATCAAAATAAAAATCCAAATAATAAGAGGAAGGGATTATTTTTTACTAGTACATCAGTTACTCATAAATAGTAAATATAAAAATATGAGCAATGTTAGACATGAGGAAACAAGTATGCTTAAAGCATGCAAGTACTGTAGAAAATGACATTAAAACAAAGACTACATACTCTGGTGTGTACACTGGTAACCAATAGACTAGTCTTCCACCCGGTACAAGAGTCTCAGCTGCAAAGTTTAATAGGTCAAAAAACATATCACTCAGATGATAACTCAAGGAGACAGGAACGTGGCTTTCTGGACTAACAAAGAACAAATATTACAAAAATCAGTAAATTTTAGGATTGCACACAATAATTATTAAAAAAATCAACAAGCTTTTCAAAGTAATAACTTGTTACATTTAAATTTCACTTACCATTTTTCTATCCCCTTTGGTATTTCCTTCTGTGAACCTGATCTTCTTGTAGATTCTCTGATACCATATGGAGCTAGGCAGGAAGAAAAGAAAACAGCAGGACAATGAAGTCAACCAGTTGCCAATGAGGGACAGATACACATTGTATGCAATCAAATGTGATGTCCATGAAGAGAAAAAAATATCACCCATGCATTATTCCACCTGAAAATATTTAACACAAAATGCTCAGGGAATGGTAACTATGTCTTCAAAATGTCCATGGTCTAAAGTTCCAGTAAAACTGTGGGCATACTGTAAGTAATGGAGGACCAAAATTACTAAATGCAATGCCTGACTCTGAAGTGAACCTGTATTCAAGGAAAAAAAAAAGTTCATAATATTAGTGATTCAACTGACAAAACTGGCTAATAAACTGTAGAATCAATTATTATATGCATATATTAAAATTGATTGCTACACTGTGGCTAAGATACTATCTATTCTCAGAAAATCCACACTAAAGTATAGGAGGAAAAATGCCATACTGGGAGAACAAATAGTAAATAATAAAGGTCCCAAACTGTCACGATGCACATTCACAAAGATATCTTAATGCGTAAGAACTTTCTTGTTGAGCTGGAGAAATGGTTCATTGGTTAAGAGCACTGCCTGCTCTTCCAGATGGCCCAGGTTCAATTCCCAGCACCCACATGACAGTTCATAACTGTCTGTAACTCCAGCAGGGTATCTGACACCTTTACACTAATACACATAAAATAAATAAGCTAAATAAAAAATTTTCTTTGAAAAAAGAGAACTTTCTTGTTAGATTTGAAATCCTCTAAGTCAAAGAAAAACAACAACAACAAAAATGGCTGAGATGACCTGAACATGGAGTTTATGGAACACAAACTGATAGCTAGGAAACCAGCATAGAACTATTCCAGACCTCCTGAATGTGGTTATCAGTTTGGAGGTCTGGTTAATCTATGGGGCCTCTGGTAGTGGATCATTATTTATCCCTAGTACATGAATGGACTTTGGTAGCCCACTCCACATTGAGGGATATTCTCGCAGCCTAGACACACGGGGGAGGGTTTAGGCCCTGCTCCAAATAATATGACAGACTTTGAAGATCCCCCATGGAAGGCCTCACCTTCCCTGGGGAGCAGAAAGGGGATGGGATAGGGGTTGGTAGGGGATAGGGGAGGAGGGTCAGAAGAGGGGAACTGGGATTGACATGTAAAACAAGCTTTTCTCTAATTTAAATTTTTTATGGAAATAAATAAATAAATAAAAATAAAAGCTATACTGAAAGCCGGGTGTTAGTGGTACATGGCCTTTAATCGCAGCCCTCGGGAGGCAGAGGCAGGCCAATCTCTTGTGAGTTCGAGGCCAGCCTAGTCTACAGAGCGAGTTCCAGACAGCCTCCAAGCAATACAGAGAAACCCTGTCTTGAAAAACAAAACAACAACAAAAACCTACACTGAATTTGAATTAGGAAAAAAATAAAAACTATACTGAATTAGGAAAAAAAAATGGCTGAGATAAAAGGTCTTAACTTCGCACTATTTACCAATTATTGCCAAGATTTTTAATTACAAGAATTACTACAAAGATCATTAGCAACCTTAAGGAAAAGGCACACCTGTTTTGACAGGTCCTTTCAAATGCTCAAGGGTCAATAAGTTCTCGTGTAGTGTTGGGGAGCCAGTCAGTGCACGAGCCCAGTGGTCCATACGACCCCAAGTCTCTCTACATTCAGAAAGAAGATGCCAGTGAAAACAAGGGTTAGAGAGACCCAACTATGGAGCAATGCGACATCGCTGAAACACCCCAAAATTGACACAGAAACCATAAATATCACTAGCCCTAGTTGCTATATTAATGACCAGTCACAGTCAATATAAAAAAAAATGCCTCAAAAAATAAATGGAAGGGGAAAATGGATGGCAAATTACACCCACCTATAAATGCAGACAGGAAAATATTTCCTAAAGTGAAACCACAAACCCTTAAATACTTAAATTAACAACCTGTCTTCTAGTCATAATTTTTGTAATGTTTCTATCTGAAGAGTGAGAGGAACCCCAAAACAAGTGGGTATTTCTTCTGTGTGTTGATATATTTTGTACTTAAAATGTTCCAGTTTCAGAAAACGAATCCCCTTACTACTTTATATAAAAATAAACTCACGATCTGTGATGATTGCATCAAAATATGTTCCCTTCCTCCAGGAAGGCTTAGAGGCATCAGAAACCAAGACATCGAGGTAAAACTTCTCTAGGCCATACTGACGAAGATTTGCCCTGATGTTTTCATCTGGTCCTCGCCACTTCTGGTTTTTCCTACTAGCCTTTCCTAAAGAGAAAGAAAAGGAAGGTAGAAAGTTACCCCATTAACAGAGCATTATTCTTTTCTTTAGTTCATTTGCCATTTTAATTGTATGCATACAATTAAGCAAGTATTATTTCACATTATTACTTTGAACAGTAAAATGCACCTTAGCAAAATGGTCAATACTTTCCAAGTATGAAATATTCATAAGTAAGGTACATAATGAGTAGAACATGGACCTTTCCCACAGCAGTTAAGAGCTCTGTGCTGAATGAGTAATCAGATAAATGAACAAGAAATGAAGAATGTTAACTTGTAAAACACAGCAGCTTTTAACCATGAAGAAGGCAGACAAATGGAAACTTTGCTGATGAGAAGTCAGCAGTGCATAGAGAGAGAAAGGGAAGAAGTTCAAAAGCTTAGCACTCAGGAGATCTCAGTGCATGATGACGTCAATTGTAAGAACAGAGAAACCTGAAGAAATAGACAGTTTAATATGTACATTTTGAGATATTTAACCACCTGACACACACACTACAAATACACACAATACACATAATATACATACACACACATACATATGCATACACACACATACATATGTATACACACACACTATGTGCATGCACACACAAACACACACAATACACACAGCCAGAAAATGGAACTAGCTCAAAGAGATAATGTGGACCTCTGGAACAAACACGCTTAGAGGCATCAGCATTTAAACAAGTGGAACTGGTGAGAATGAATAAAATTTTAACCTAGGTGCCAACTACCCAAGAGCTTGCTCTAGTGTTGTTCTTATTCTTGAGGCAGGGACTGGAACTCATAGAAACTTTCCCGCCTCTGCCTCCCTTTGCCATGCACCACCCTGCCCAGCAATTATTCTAATTACACACTTTTGTATTGCAATCAATTTTACTGTGATAGGTTATTAATCATATACACAGCAACTTTAGCAACAGAAATTATAAAAAAACCTCACCTTTAATAACCTATACTGAGTGAAGTAAATTGTTTTAAAAACTCATTCAAGTTACAATAGAGGAATACCAGCAGAGGCAATTTCAAAAACATGAATGTACCTTGGTATTTTTAATACCATTTCATTATGAGAAATATACTTTTTGACGCTGATTTAATTCCATCCAATCACATACCATTAGTGAAGCTTTTGAATTTTTAGGCATTTTCCATAACTGCCACAAAATCAAAGTTACTCTCATTTAAAGGCAGAATCTTGAAATTTGTAGATGCCTCAAGTGTTTCAAGTATGTTCTGGTCACAAAAATCTAGATTTTTAAATGTTACTCAAAGACCAAATATTAATCCAACCTATACTCACAGCATAATTGCTGAGTAAGTCGATGACGGTAATCTTTAATAGAGACTATATACATTTTCTTTCATTGTTTTAAAATGTATCTTCATGCTATCTTTGCATGCATGCATGCATGTCTATGTGAGGGAGTCAGAAGTAACAGACGGGTGTGAGCTGCCATGTGCGTGCCAGGAATTGAACCTGGATGCTCTGGAAGTACAGTCAGTGCTCTTAACAGATGAGCCATCTTTCTAGTCCCGTGTATATATTTCCTTCACATGTACTTGTTGACTAAAAATGGCCACTCCCCTCTTTCACCTTCTCCTTCCCAGCACTGAGGCTCACAGCCTCAGCTTGCCTTTTTAAAAATCCTCTTATTAAGATGATAAGTGCCTAGCTGGGGATGGAGATTTTTTTTTCTATTCATCTCAATATTCTTCTAGTTCACATTGCATACCCTCAGTGACAACATCATAAAATATAGATTCTCAAAGAAATTCTGGGGTAAAATTACACTGAAATGTTGTGCTTTAAACACTAAAATGTCACATAAAACGACTTTATTATTTTAAAGGCCCATCTGGCTTAACAACAAAGACTTTAACACTGTAAGTTCTACTCACCCACGCCATGAACCGTGTTGTAGTCTATGTCTGTCCCACACACATATGCACCAAAGTGAGCAGATGCTATCAGGAGGCCACCTGGAAAACCACACAATTGTGACTATTAACCAGAGTCCCAGACTAGTGTTCCTTTCCTGATTTAATTTGATCCCGAGTCTTATGAACTAGCTGCAGGCAGAGTACCCTGGAACGACACCAAGCTAGTTAAATTTAGAAAGGCTCAGAACTGAACAAATAAACCCAAAACTGAACTCACTAAACTGGCCACAAAGCAGGGAATCAACACATATCATGGCACTGTTATTTCACACCACCTAAGCAACACTATTTCTTTGTTCAAAATAATGTAATATGTAGACATTTTCAGGTTATCTTAAGATTACAAAAAACATTTGAAAGTGAACACACAAGTCTGAAAAGACAAAGATCTAAAATAAACTAATAAGTGGGCTTGAGTTTCAAAGAACTAAAGTGAGCATATTTCACATGTATAATACTAACTTTAGCGAGTTAAAACACGCCTGTTATAAAATACTGTCATGTATTTATCTCTTGGTATAAACTCTAAATATGAATCTCTAGTAACTTATCTAGCTAATAGTATCATTTTCCTCTTAAAGAGTGCTACGGCTAATGTAAGAATAATGTCCCAATACAAACTGCCCAGACTAAGGAATATGACAGATGTGACTGGTTCAAAAATGAAGGAAAGTTCTAACTTAAAAGTGAAATACCTTAAACGAAACACAAGTATTTTTAAATTTTTAAGAAAAATCACAAAGTTAAATAAAATATTAATAACTATTTTTCATTAAACACCATTTTTATGCAATTTGCGCTTAATCAATCCCCAATTACAATATAGAAAGATGACAAACAAGCAGAAATGAGAAATTCATTCTTAGACTACAAAGTAAGCACAGATTTGGACAAAGGGAAAAATTTAGGGTTTTTCTTTCCACCCTTTTAAAATGCAACCCCTAAAATTAATACGTGCAATGTCTTCACGAGGTCAAGATCTTCGAATCACAGATCTACAGTCATTTAAAAAATAGTCAGGGAAGATTACTTTCAAAAGGACTAACTAGTTTCCTGCTGTATCCCTTGAAGAAGAACGCTGGCCTCAAAGCACAAGGGAATCCAAACCCTGGGTCTTCTCATGCTAACCTTTGAAGCATTTGTATGAGATGCGGCGTAAAAGAGACCTCAGAACTCTTGGTCTAGAGATGGGAGTGTCTGCAGGAGGAAAGGTACTGTATGTGATGACTTAGGAGTCTCAGAAGGTCACTTCACCCACATCACAAGGAATTACTACAATTCTGCCAATCAAGGCAGATACTCACCTAGAAGAACTAGTTGTCAAGGGTACAGAAAAGCTTTCCTGTGCTTCCTTAACCATTGCTTAGTGACTTTTGAGAAGACTCAATTTACAGAACACTGCTGAAAGGAGACGAATAAGCTGTTAGACTCACCTGTTACCTTCTGTCTTTCGATCGTTTAAGCTTTTTAAATAAAATCATAATAAATTGCTCTGAATTGATCACTGGATAATCACTGCTCATCATCTATTTCTCTTACAATTCTCTTCAATTACAGCAATTTTTATTTTCTGTTATACCTTATATGGAATTTGGAATTCCATATACATTATATGGAATTTTCTTGGGCGAATGGGTAAAAACAGAGTGAACTGTTGAGAAGGCAGGAAAGGAACTCGCCCATTTTTGTTATACAAAGTAAACTGTTAATACCACATCTGTGAGTTAGACTAGCACCTGGTGCTTCAATTTCTTGTTACTTAAACAGTAACCTCTTTAGGGTTAGTATAATACCTTATGGGCAAAAGAATACAATGAGTGGAATTTATTCCACACTTACAAAACTTAGTTTATGAGTTTGATCTATGGAGAGCTAAAGGGAAAGCTTGAGACTGCGAGGAACTGTGAGAATAGGCTCTGGTTTTGCTAAAGGAAAAGAAGCTGGTAATCCTGTTGCCACTATTTTTCACTCTATCTGTTTCATCCCTCTGAAAAAGGAACTCTAACTGAGCCAGCAGCCTGAGCACAAGAATACTGCCAAAGGTAGCAATACAATACACAAACTGAGGCTGTAGGGAAAGGAAACCACAAAGAACTATGAAAACGGTAAAGCAGAAAACACTGTAATGGTCTACTGAGAGCTACTTCCCCGTCCTCTTTTCCATCCTGCAGTTTCCTCTCAGGACCAAGGCAATGTCCTCACCTGGACCTTAGGTCAATCATTCTGAGATGACAAAATTCAAAAGGAGTTGTAGTGTTTTCCTTGCACCTATATGTCTCCTTGGTGGACTCTTACTCCCAGAACTCACTCACTTGAGAGAATGTTTGAGAAGGAATCAAAGCTATGGCTTCAGAACTCTATGCTACATAAAACACTGGACAAACACTCATCTCAGTCATTTTAATTAAACACAAAAAAATAGACATTTACAAATTTAACCTTCAATTCTTTTGCTGCTGTAATAGCAACAGTTTATGAATATTTTGGAAATTAGCCCAAGAGGGGACTAGAAAATAAGTTCATAGTCAAACTTTTCATCATTGTTTTGTATTAGCTGTATCTAACACATTCACTAGAAATTATCTAAGTTCAAAAGAAAGTAACAACTAAGTAATAATAGTACTATAACAGTCTATAGAAGGTCTCCCAGTTTCAGGGAACTGGAGGGGCACATAAAAGCTTGGGCTACATTTGGGAAACTGTCCATATTTCAATCTGGACCATTAAAAGGGACACACGTGAATCAAATCAAAACAAAACAAAACACTAATATATGGAAGCCAAAGGTAAAACCATCAAACAGGATGGAAAAACACACAGCAAGGAAGAAGGCACAGAACTACTTCTCTAGTCCTTTCCAAGGTACAAGCTCTCTGTGAAGCAGTAGTCCCATGAGGAAACCAATGACCCATAAGGACTTTAAAATTAGGGGTTATAACCAGTTTCAAAATAGAAGTGTCAAAAACAGACTTACATTCTAAAGCCAAATATCAATCATAAACACAGGTTATATTTAGTGGCAGATCTTGCAAAGATTCACCGATCAATTGACCTTACTCTTCTATGTGAATAGTGAGATGATCAAAATAGGCCATCTACTGTAGGCAGCCATCCACAGCAAACAGTCAAGTATGCTAACCCCTCACCATACATAAGGCAGCCAGGACCTTGACTACTGTGAAGGTGGAATTTCACTATACTCCTATACTCAACTGCATCAAGAGACGCATACTCCCCTTCTTCCCCTATTATGACAATACTATTTTTAAACTCTAAGGTCTAACCTAAGTGTATACACATGTCATTTTATAGACAAATTTTACATAATTCCGGAGAGTTGTTTTTCTTCATAAAAAGGGCTGGTTTGTTGGTGTGTTTGTTTTAAAACTTAAGAATGAACCAACAAGGTGGCTTAGTGGGAAAAGCGTCAGTGGCAGAACCTGATTACCTCGAGGGAATTCCTAGAACCCACAGAAAGGTGGAAGGAGAACCAACTCCACAAAATTGTCCTCAGACTTTCACATACCTACAGTGGCATGCCTGTACCCAGAAACATACATCGCATGCACAGGCATGCACCCTTACATGTGCACATGCGTGTGTACACACAGAGAAAACCACAATAAGAAACACAATTTTTAAAGCCAGTATAGGGGAAGCTGTTATATGGCAAGAAAGTAAATACTGGCAATCTGAAAGGAAATATTTATGATTTATTACAGAAATACTGGAGTAAGATGTGTTAATATCTCTATGAAAGAGGCCGAGGCAGAAGACATGGAAGTCTATTCAAAAATACCTGTATAACATCCCTTTAAAAATCCAAGATGACTTATATTCAGATGTAAAATAACATTGTATTTCAATGCCATTTTCACCCAACAAATGAGGAAAACTTCAAAAGCTTGACCATATAATCTTAGTAGTAAAACTGCAGGAAAACAAGAACTCTCTTATATGTCTGCAGAAACCCAAAGCTGAATAACAGAAGATAATTTATTTAGTAGCAACTAGCAAAACCACATATTCCCTTTAACCTAGCAATCCTACTTCCAGAAATTTACTCCAGTGCTCTAGCCTCAAAATTACAAAGGTATATTTTCATATGATTACTCATTGTAAACATTATTTTCAAGTATAAAATACTGGAAACTACCAGTAGCCAGGTATGTATTGGAGATTATTTGAACAAATTATAGAATATATTTATGGATTAAAAGTCGAGAAGAAAACGAAAATGGGCTAGAATGTAGCTCTATCATAGACTGCTTGTGTTATCTCCAGTACCACAACAAAAGAATGACGACAATCTCTGAACAGGAAGAGGTTTTCCATTTAACTGGGAAACAACAACGACAAACAAACTAAAAGCCAAGAAATACATAGAGCATCAAATGCTTTATATTAAAGAGTATGAGTAAGAAATTGTATCTATATACGTATTGTCACTAGGAAGAGAAAATAGTAGAATCCACTAGAAAACAAGGTCAGTCACTAATGGAAGGAACGAAAAGGAGAGCACACTATTGTATAGATGCAAGTTACATAATAAAGATAACTAATCGCAGGAGCAGAGGACAGAGATCTAAGACTGAGAGCAGGCTATAGCGACTGAAACCAAGTGACTTTCAAAAGGAGAAAAAGCAAGCACAGTATTTGACTTTATTGCTCCTTAAGCAAAATATGAATTGAAACTACCTCTTAAATCGCTTGTGGCAGGAGTGGTGGTTTGGATGAATATCCCCCACAAGCTCAGATATTTGAATACTTCCTCCCCTGTTGGTGCTGCTGTTTGGGGATGTTTAGGAGGTGCAGTTTGCTTGAGGGTTTGCGTCACTGGGCATGAGCTTTGGAAGTAAAAGGTCTTGTCTACTTCCAGTGTGTTCCTTCTGCTTGCTGCTTACGGTCAAAGATGAGAACTCTCAGTATTCTTGTTCCTGCCTCTGGATGCCATGCTTTTCCATCCTGATGGATTCCTATCCCTCTGGAACCATTAAGTCCAAACGAACTCTTCCATCAAGACTTGCCTTGGTCATGGTGTTTTATCACAGCAACAGAAAGCAAATACAATAGGATTCTTCCCCTGCAGTGACATGGTCAAAGCAATCTTGACTGTTTAGATAATTATAGAAATGAGCAAGAGCAAACAGGCTGAACATAAGGACCAGGGTCCTCAGTGAAGAGAAAGGTACACATCGACAAGCACTGGAATAGGGAGGAAATAAATCTGTGATAATCAACAGAAATAACCAGTACATGTATAAACCCATGATTTCTAATAAGTCTATGTGTAGATTTATATGTGTGTACACACAGGAATATATGTGTGTATATTTCCATGCTCACTCACATGTATATTAAATATATACACATGTGTATTTCTTTGCTTACCCTCTGAGAAGCTTTAGAACACAATCTTGGTTTCTGATACCATCTCCTCACTAAGAGAAATAAGGGTTACTGGGAGAAATGACTGATACCAGGGCTTTGGCATGAAAAAGATAAGCCAGAAATCTTAAAAGTTCTCTAAGGAAAAAGAAAGAGTGATAGATCACCAAGACAGACTCAGTGTGAAAGGGCGAGGCAGAACTAGGCTAATTTAAAAATGGAAATAATGAAGGGATATCAGGACTATAAATAACCTGAGAAAAGGAGAGAGACTTAGTAGTTCATGTTAATAAGTGAAGTTAGCAACAGGAAGTGAAGAAAGATTTCTTGCTTATAAAATAATGAATGTAGATCACTAACACAGAAATGCTAGATTGCAAAAATCATCAAAGGATAGACTAGTTCAAATAAGAATCTTATCACTGGATGCTAAATCTGACTTGTCAAGATGAGGAGATATCTGGATAAGGATGTACTTCACCACAAATGTACTAACTACAAGAAGATAAAGTAAAACAGTAACCATCACACATGGAGAATCAAATACAATCAGTACCATGCTGATAAAAACCAGTACTACCACTGAGAGGCACAGAAGGGTATGTTAGCTTTAAGAAGGACATAACATCTCTAGTGGGAATGTATAACCCATTCCAATGAGAGATATTCAAGCAACTCAAATGAAAACTATTTTAAACTTAAAAGTGTTAGTAATGTTTCAAACCAAAATAACATTTACAGTAAAATACAATACCCAACTACAGAATATAAACATATAAATTCAAATATATATAAAACTGTTACTCTTAACAATGTATACCGATGCACTGAGAGGAATGTAATAAATGCAACCTTCAGGAGCTGGAGAGATAGCTCAGTGGTTAAGAGCACTAGCTAATCCTCCAGAGGGCCCAGGTTCAGCTGCCAACACTCACACGACATGTAAGGCCAAACATAAGTAAACAAATACATTTTTAAGAGAAAAAATAAAATACATATAACCTTTAAATGATTCAGGCAAAAGTAAAAATAAAATAAAATGATAAGGTAAAGGAAGCCAAATGTAAACAAAAGCTTAAGCTGGGATTGGATATATGTATATTCTTTGTTCTTGTAACTTGTAAATGCACTTGATAATTAGTTTCACTAACAAGCCCAAAACGTGAGAGAATGTGTTTAGGTAAATGAACACAGAGAAGAACAAACAGCATGCTGAGAGTGGGGGTCCATGGAGACACACCAGAGTACAACAGAAGTGCACTGGTGAATTAGTCCAAAACAAATTACAAAAGATCTCCTCCATCCTCTAGGAATTCTAGACCACATACTATTTCTTCCTAATCACATTTGGTCACAGTCCTGAAGTTAATGCAAGTGGTGGCCAGAGAGAGACAGACAGCTCTGCAGAAGCAATGAATACATGAACTGCTGCAGTCTGAATCTGCAAATACGACACATTGCATAATCCTGATCAAATCACGTAACCAATCCTCAGGAAGACTTTCAAAGTGTCTCCATGCTAGCTGTCATCAGAATTAGAGTACAGCATAGTATCTGACACATTTACTCAGCAGGGACTAGCCTTGCACCCCCATTGCTCCTGAGACAGACAGCTGCAGTGACACTAACTGAACAAGAATAAAGGGTTAGTCAGACAAAGGTTAAATAAGAGTGCTGCTTGAGTAAGGGCTACATCAAGCAAGAAAGCAATCTGAGAAAAAGAAAATTCCAGAATCAGATGAAGTCAACTTGGAATTTCAGGCTTTCCACTGGCCTAATTAGGACAGCATCCCAGGGAAGTTAGAAAGGACGTGGGTTATGGTGTCAGCAGGCAGGCTCAAGACTGTGGCTACTTAGTCACCTTTAGTTTCACACTTACTTAAAAACTCCCACAAACAGAATCAAAGACATATTTTCCCTCTAGCCAAATACATGGCTGTTTATTTAAAAGCATGACTATTTTTTCTTTTTGGTTTTTTCATTCTTCCCATAAGAGCTTTCCTAATTAAATAATGATTCTCACACATTTCTATAATGTACGGTATACTGCAAGACATCTGTGAAAAAATAAGCCTGATGCTCCCCCCAGTGGCTTACTTGGAATAAAACCCATAATACTCTAGTCATATCCATCAAGTGGTAAAGTGTTAAATATTAGCTATTATATAGGAAAAGATAAGTTTGTCAATTCAATCTCTCACCCAAAACATACTATAACCTTCACTGCTATAAATAAGCAAAATCTATGCATTAAGTGTAACAAGTAGATTTACAATACCTGTTCCAACAAATGGATCAAAGACAACATCATTTTCTTTCACTTTTGCATGATTGGCCATGATGAATGATAAACCAGCATCCATACTCGTATTTCCAATAAAATGTCTCTTTTTGACACTGTATGACTCAATTAGCTCTCTCTGCCCATCTGCAATCTAGATCAGAGATATTTTTTAAGTTAGTCTAGCTATACAGACCAGACTCAAGAAAATTATTGACAATAAAATATTACAGCACCATTCTAATGAGAACTTTTTTCCACTTATTACTGTTCTAAACTTAATCTTTTAAAATTCACAGGATTGAGAATGTTAGAGTCAATCCTTTTACTTCTCTAACGTCTTTCCACCTACTTTGTGCTTTCAAACCAAGGGATCAAATTCAAATATAATTATTCTAAGGAGTGGTCTTGAGTTTTCTCATCTCCCTTTGCTCTGTCTCTGAAACGACAAGAGTCCATAGCATGGCTCTCAGCTTTCATCCTCCTATTCCAGCCTCAAGGACGTGAGCTGAACACTTCTATCATTTCCTTTTCCCCCAGAATGGAAGACTCAGATTTGAGATTTTCACAAGATCGCTGAACCAGCTCAGCATTCTGCCCTCTCTGCTTCACTAAAGCAGCAGTCCTGACAGTCTGGGAAACCTTGTTTTCCATTATAGATATAAATCCTTTTCCTAGATCTAACAGCTCTATGTACATTTCACAGGGATCTCTGAAAAACAGAAATTAAAATCACATATTTTGGCAATTTAAATACATACAGAGTTCCGACTCTTCAGTTGCTTCAAATTTTTCCATATTAAAAATCACATACAAAGGCATGGCATCTTCTTTTGCTCTGGACCTCATGAGTGCTTGGCTGTGCTCTACCATTGACCTACAACCCCACCCTGCATTTAGTTTTTAAAGAAAGAGGTGAGCTAGGTAGAAAGAACTCACTTACCCATCTACCAAAATAAATATGATGTGGACTCTCAGGGATGTGGTTTGGATCTAAACCATAGTCTTCCAAAACAGAGAATACATGCTGTGGTTTCTTTAAGTTCACTTTTCCTTCAAATGGCAGAAATTCAAGGGCCTAAAAACAAAAGTAATTCTAATGTACTACAAAAATTTATGAAAGTATCATAGAAAACAGTGCTTATCTAGTATTATGCACTGTGTGGGTCTGGAGTCAGAACAACATGGAAAGCACTTAACAGACATTATATGCCATGGATTATGCTTACTGTTAATAAGACACTGACTGACTGATAGCAAGGTGAGAAGAAACTGGGAAAGACAGTCTGACGCAGAGAGGGATCCTGGGAGGAAGACGGATGGAGTCAGAGGAGTTGCCAGCAAATGGAGAGGGAGCAGGAGATGAACATGCCATGCTAATAAAGGCACCGCCATGTGGCAGAGCCTAAATAAGGAATATGGGTTAACTTTTAAAAAAATGTAAGAGCTAGTTAGTAATAAGCCTGAGCTATTGACTGAGCATTTGTAAGTATTAAGTCTCAGTGTGTTTATTTGAGAGCAGTTGCAGGACAGGCTTTGGTTTAGTTAATTTCACTTACATCTATTCGTTTGACTTTTTCTTCTTGAGTCAATGTTTTATTAAATGTGTGAATCTTTATTTTATATGTAGACTCTGAATGTAGAAATGGAACCTAAAATAGAAGCAGATAAGTTTTGTAAGCTTATGAATTCTACAGAATATGCACATGTGCCTATGTAAAAATCACATTTCACTACGCACCATCTTCTCCACAGGGTAATTTTTAAGAGAAGTATACAGCTCCTCAGGAGATTTTCCATGACCCCATAGTTCAAATATAGACCTAGGAAATAAATGGTTGGTACTAACCTCAGTAATGAACTTAGTTCAGACAGCAATACGTAATAGTTATTTTCCTAGTTCTTTATGCTTGCTACAATAAAGCAATCATTGGCCATGCTTTCTAATATGTCCTTGAAAGTCTATTTTAATCATCTGTAGGTTGCAAAATACTGTCCTTGAAAGTGAATTCCTCTTCTATTGAGTTTAGAGCCAGTAAGTAATGCTACTCTTATTTAGCAGTATCTTAAGGCATATCTCAGCCACAGAAATGAAGAACAACCAAAAGTAAAGTGTTATATATTTTACAATATTATATAATTATTCATTTCACTACTCATATGCATCAAAAGAAGCAAGCTTTCAACATATATGTTCTGAGTTTGCAAGTGAATATTTTAAACCTAATATCTCTTACTTCTAGAATCCAAATACTTAAAACAGTCATATATTTTAACATGAAAAGTAAATTAGTATTTATACAAATAGTGGTTTTCATTTTTTTATTGCTTCTATATTCTAATCATGTATATTTAGTAACAAGATTATTAAGAAGCTACAGTTTAAGAAACTATATTTAGAATTAAGCATACATCTTAATAGGATAAAGTTAGATGAATATGGAGCTAACAGTCATACCATATTAAAAAAACATTGCTAATCATGGTGTGTGTGTTAGAATTCATTTCTCAGCTGGGCAGTGGTGGTGCATACCTTTAATCCCAGCACTCGGGAGGCAGAGGCAAATGGATCTCTGTGAATTCGAGGCCAGCCTGGTTTACAAAGTGAGTTCTAAGATAGCCAAGGTTACACAGAGAAACCCTGTCCTGAAAAAAACAAGGAAAAAAATAATCCATTTCTTTAACATTTCTCATGACAGTTCCCACATTTTGCTATCTTAAATTTACTAATCTCATCATTCAACTAAAAATCAAGAATAAGAAAAGCAGTTTTATATTTTGTAAAACTTGGTTACACTTAATGTAGTATTCATTCTCTAAGAATATGTCATCCCACACTATCCTCCTACATGGAAGCATTTGTTACCTCAGCTCCAGAAGGTAATTCTCTGTTCCCTCATCGCCACCCAATGGTAAATCTATGTAACTTCAAGCTAAGATGATGCTTCCTTAACTATCCTTTTAGCCTCTACCGTAACCTTCTGCAGGAGAAAAAACAAAAAACAAAAAAAAACAGAACATAGGGTTGTGAGACCATGTATATGAACACCACCCAACATGAGGAGTTTCTCTTACTTGGCACACACTGTCCGTTTCATTAAGTTCCTTGCAATATCTTCAGAGGGAATGCTAAGAATCCAAAATGGAGACTAAAAGAAAAAAAGGCATGCAAATTACTACTACAAGGTTACAAGGTCTAATACACTTTGATTTAAAAAGTCAACAGGAAAAGTTCATAGTTGCCATGTAAAAATGCCTGACCTGACCCTAACCAAAATAAAAATTATTCTGATAATAAAAAGTTAAATTATTTTAGTAGCTAATTTGCTAAGATAACATATTGCAATATAAGAACACTTTTGTAAATGACTCCATAAATGAAAATATCAGTACACTTTTAAAATTACTTTAAAAAAAAGAGTAAAAGAAAAGAAAATACTTCAGATTCAGATCATGATGATTAATAGTCCAGGAGTGTCTTTCTTAATGGTCTTTACCAGCTATTCCTCTCCCCTGAAGACTGCTGTCCTCATCTGCAACAGATACTAGGAATGAGCCTTTCTAACTACAGATGACCTTATGAATAACAGACAGCCCCACAAGAGCAGAGTGGGAGGCTTGGGCAACAGGGGCAACTGTGAGGAGCTCCTGGAAGGCAGCTGTGCCTGCAGAAACCGACTTCTAATGGAACTACAGCACCTTATTTTAGGCTAGCTCTAGCTGCCTTGTTCACCTCTGTGTCAAAACTAACATCTTGTGACTAACAAATAAAAACCCTTTGAAATTATTAATTTAGCAGACTACTAGCTTCCACCAATCCAAAAGCTAAGAGTGTCATCAGATAGCATTTTCGACCTATAGAGAAGCTTTCTCCATCTTGCTGTAACCACCTCTCTGATGTACCAACCAACTTTTTAACCTTAACCTTCATTTGTGGCTTCCTTTGTTCGGTAAAACCATGAAGTCTCCACACCAGAACATGGAATTTGGGGTAACCTAAATCTGTGTTCCCAGACCTGGGTCACTCAAAATGGCTCCAAAATAAACTATCTATTCCCTTAAATTAAAAAAAAAAAAAAGTCACCTTACCTTTCCGTAGGTTTCATGATTGTTAGTGAACTGGCCTCCAAACAGTGATAGTAAAGACTTTATTTCCTGTATTGAAAATACAGAGAAAAAAATATGTATTGTTATTGTCTGATTAAGAAAAGTCCCCCAAGGGCTGATGTCTTAGCCGGCACCGTTAGCTTGTGGAGCCACTTTGAATGCTGTGACACACGGGATGGCTAAGTCCATCTCTAAGAGGCAGGATCTGAGGATGACTCCCACGTGACTCCAACCTGCTCTGCTTCTTGGTATGTATCAAGGGAACAAGCTGCTCCCTCGTAACCCTGCCACAGACTAGGCCACTCTACTATGCCTCTAACTATACTCTCCAAAGCCAAGAGGCAAAATAAAGCTCTGTTCCATTTGGTTACTTCCGTTGGCTATTTTGTTACACCATCAAGAAGAGTGACAATGTGCATCTTAAACACTTTAAACTCAGTCTGCTAAGAAAAAAGAGGTCTAATTTTAGAAATCAGAGAGTGGGCTGATATCTACTTGAGGGATTTAGGTTTCAACATCAGACAATTGCTATGTGGAGTTCTGAGGAGATTTGTGTGGTCCTCCCCATGATTGGGCGATTTCATCAGGAACTGTCCTGTCCGGGCTGTGGAGGTAACAAAGCTTACAGATGCTGCAGATTAGTAAACAAGACAATCAACTAATTAAAATAAAATTAACTATTAAACATGATTTGAAGATGCTGGGAAAAGAAACAATTAGCTAGGGAGCATAACTGTGAATTCAGTATGTATAAGTACATGGTTAACCTCCTTTTCCAACAGTAATAAAACTAGAAAGGACTATACAGTGAGTATAGTATTTTTGTTTATCTTTTTGCAACAGACTCTCCTCTAGCCAAGGCTGCTATGACCTGATTCACCTGCCTCCATTTCCCAAGTGCTGAGATTACAGGAGTGTGCCACTATACCTGTCCACAGTAGATATTTTAGATGTAACATTCGTGCAAAGAGGAAATCTGGTCAAACAGTACATACATTCTTCAAAGGATTACACAAATAGTCTGCCTTGTAACACTGACAAATGAATTCTATTCCTCCACACTGGTCCTATGGCGGAAGTAACTAAGGCGAAGTAAATGTCCCCAATGCTGGTTGTCAACACTCTCCGTTCCTTCCTGCCAGAAGGTCATACCACCCAGCCCATAGCCATCAGGAGAGAAAGAGAGCCGCATCATCACGTTTCCCATTACAAACCAAAAAGAGTGGGAGATTTGAGTAACAAATGCTACTTCTTGATTTCATTTGACTTTGCATCAAATTGTTTCCTGTATTAGAAAGTTATGAGTTTTAGGAGGAACTGAAGGTGAATACAATCAAAACAAATTGAATGAAAATTTCAAAGAATAAAAATATTCCTAAGAGGGAGGGGGAGGGAGGTCTGTGTGTGTGTGTGTGTGTGTGTGTGTGTGTGTGTGTGTGTGTGTGTGTGTGTGTGTATGTGTGTGTGTGTGTTCAATCCAGTACAGGTGATCTGTAAATCAGTGAAGACAGCCCAAATGGCTCCTTTACCACATGAATAACACAACTCTGAATAGGAGACATGAGGAAACACCGAGTAAGACTACAATGGATGCTCTGGTCTCCTAGATACTAGCACATCCTTTGACTCTCCATGCTTTACATATCAGTTATCATGGCTACCTGGTGGGGTAGCATAGCCACATGTAGAGATCAACCCCGAAACGGGGGCATTATGGCAATCAAGATGGTAGTGACTGAAGCTCTGTCTCTCCTTAGGTCTACTCCCCAGGCCCCTTAAACTGTAACTAACCTTGTACTTTCCCTTCTTATATTCTGATATACCAGTAGTAGTAGTGTGCCTTTTTTCCCTTTTTTTTTTTTTTTTTTTTTTGGTTTTGTTGGTTTTTTTTTTTTCCAGACAGGACTTCTCTGTATTGTCTTGGAGTGAAAGCCTGTCCTGGCACTCACTCTATAGAGCAGGCTGGTCTCCCGTGTGCTGTGATTAAAGGCGTGTGCCACCAATACCAGGGTCCCTTTCCTCATTTTTAGCTTCTCAGAGTAACCTTTCTTTCTAACCATAAAGCACATGCATTCAATACTCTCTCTCTGCTCTCTAAGCCGTGGCTCTCTCCTTATGTTTGAAATGCTGCATGGTCTCTTCCAGTTTTCCTTTAATGCCAATGCTTCCAAGCATTTGTGCTTGGCCTACCACTTTTTTTTAAACCTGTGTGTACACTTACAAAAGTAAGGCAGGCCTGATGGTCTATGGAGTCTAGAAGTGTGGGGTCCCCCCAGAGCTGGGGGTTACAGATGGTTGTAAGCCAGTTTCCTGATGGGGTGCTGGGAACCACATCCAGGTCCTCTGGAAGAGCAGTGAGTGCTCTAACCAGTGAGCCATCTCTGAATCCTACTGGTTCACCACTTAAATTTAGAACTTACACTTGAAGAAGCCTCATCCTTTCCTAGTTTTCTTATGCAACACAATCAGAAATATGTATCACAAGTCTAGATTTGTTCTCATCTCCTACACTGTCATTCTGTCCTATCCTTATTGCTCGCACCAGGTTAATTTCTTAATCATTTAACATTCCAACAGATCCTTAAATAGTCTCAACTTCAGTCCTGCTCTTCTCAAGTCCATTCTTCATTTAGCTTTCTATTAAAAACAATCTAATTCTACCCCTTTACTTTTAACTCTTTAATACCTCTTCAAGTTAAAGTAGTCAAGTCTGCTTTTCCTGGCCCATCAACCTATTGTCCTCTCTCCTTACCATTCCCTGCCACATAACTGGAGAGTCATGGACAACAGTCTCTACTTCCAATGTACTTGTTTCATCCCCTCACAGAAGCCACCATGAAAGCCCCAAGCCTCAGTGGATAAGACTCCTTTTTTAAAAGCGCCATCCGTACTGGGCACCCAATTACTGCACTTCATTGCGCTACAATTATGCTTAGGTGTCCGCTGGCCCTTAACCTAAAACAGTACGCTCTGTAGAGAGCAGAGCTGTCAGTCAGCCCAGCGCACGCAATTACAGGCACTCTGGAAAATGTTTCTTGAAGAAAAAAGCTGTTTCCCAAGTTCATCAAGTACCGCCCTCGAGCCTTCCACTATGGCTGAACCTCGTATTCTGACACTTCTCACACTCCGCTGGTGCCCTCATGGGATGTCTTCCGTCCGGGGTTGGACGAAGAGTCCGGGAGGGTCTGGTGAGAGTCTCGTGCTTCACTGCAGCGCCAGGCGCACGTGCAGAAGAATGAATGACACCGATTGGTCCTGGAGAAAGGCTGCCTGAGATACCTCAGTCGCACCAGCGGCCTCACCCCCGCCCGATCCAGACGCTGCCCGGAGACCCCCCACCCAACCCGGCGCGCGAGGGAGTGCGGGCCTCTGGGTCAGGTACCCCAGGACGGCTCACCGGCAGGCGGAACTCCAGGTGCTCCTGTGCCAAGAGCAGCAGATACCTATTCAAGGAGCCCGGCAGCGCCATTGCAGCTGCTACCGTGCGCCTGCGCGGCCTCCGCAGGCCCGCCCCCTTCTCGTCCCAGAAGCCGAGTTTCCGCTGAGGCAGAGTCCGGGGCAGGAAACGGAAGCTGGGCAAGGAGTGCACCGACCTGGCACGCTTCCTGGGTTAGGGATGGGGGTAGGGGTAGGGACGGAGGACAGAGCTAGACCTTGCTGTTTTCGGAGGCCGAGCTACCTTGAGACGCTCCCTTTGTGAGTAGTGCTTTGTTTTAGGGGACAACTGAGGTAATCCCGCGCAGTTCCCAGAGCTGCTTCACTTGGACTATTCTTCCGACTCCCTCCTCACCTCAATTCAAAACGGGACCCGAATGTTCACTCTTCTGTGCAGACTCCTCTAACTACCCAAGAGTCCATGCCTCACCCATCCCAGGCCTTAACATTGAGTGTACTTTTTGTGATTTTGCAAAACACTTTCCAAGAGCTGTCAAGGACCTGTGACCTTGGTTTGCTCTGCACAGAAACCAACACAATCCTTCCTCTAGGGTTCATTAATTATGTTATATACAGGCACACAGGCAATGGTAGATCAGAAACATTGGCAGGAGTTGCAATTCTTCAGATGGGTCTAATATTAACAGTTTGTACGACAGTTAGCTACCCATTCTACAACAAATGTCATTACTTTTAAATTCTGAACCCTTTGTCCTGAGGAGACCTAACTTTTGGAGTTTCTGCATTCTACCTTGAAAATACACAATGTATAAAAGTATCCTAATTCTTCCTAGCACCATGTGCCAGAAACACAGTCGATGGTTAATGGTAGTACTCAAGACAGTCACTACATAGAGTAACTCATAACTCAAACCTCAGTTCCACCATTTATCATCCCTATGCTCTTAGCAAAATTGTCAGATCTCTGAGCCTCTGTTTCCTTATAAAAACTGGAATATTGCCACCTATAGATGACTATTACAAGGATTAGGTGTAATAATATTCACATTTCAAAATATAGCCTATTGCATGAGGCCAATAAATGCCATAAAGAAAGTTTTGTTTTAACGAGAATCCCTGCTTTGAGAGAGAAAGAGAGAGAGAGAGAGAGAGAGAGAGAGAGAGAGAGAGAGAGAGAGAGATTTGTATTTGTCAGAGTTGCAAAAATTGCTTCACAGGGTGCATGTAAGCAACATCTACCCAGTGGAGGTCCTAAGAATAAACCAAGGTTTGGTTTTCTTCCAGGGCATCAGCTGTAGGTGCTTCTACACCAATAGGCTAGCTACACCTGAAAAGCCTTTGCTGAGCAAGAATGAAGGCTTACCTGCAGCCAAGCAGATGGATGTACTTCGCCTTCCCAGAATTCCTATACCCTGGTGCAGTCCCTACAAAGCAGCTGCCAGGACATTCTGCTGGGTCTGCCTATCTTTCTGGGTCCTGACTCAGAAGGATATAACTATTCTTTTTTCCTTCTTTCCTTCTGTTTTTCTTCTTTTAGGTGGTGGCCAGAGCCTAAGTATGTTTTTAAACTCTCTTAACGTTTTGGACTGCTGTGCTTTTTTCCTAAAGCTCCTCTCCCAACAGCATGACTGCTTGCCCCCATGTGGCAGACCT